TTTCTTCCTTCTCCTCCCTCCAACCCTTCCCATGTCCCCCCACTCTCTCTCAAATTAGTGTCCTCTTTTTCTTTATTATTGTTACATGAATATGAAATACAAAATATGAATAAATATATAACTGCAACCCGTTGAGTTCATTTAGTGTTGCTTGTATGTATATGTCTAGGACTGACCACATGGCACTGGATAACCAATTAGGAGGCTCATCCCTGGGGAAGACATCCATGAAGAGAAATGTCTCCATTTCTCGGCAGTCATTGACTGCCTGTAGCTCCTCATGAGGGGTGGGGCTCCATGATATTTCCCACCACCAGACTGTCATGCCCACTAGTATTGTCATTGTCTAGGTCTTGTTTAGAAAAACAAGATTTCATGGGTGTGGCTTCCCCATCATATCCAGAAGACACGGTCTCATAGCTGCTAGGACATGGCAGATTTCCTGGTCTTCTGGTTCTTATATTCTTTCTATTCCCTCTTCCATGCTGTTCCCTGAACATTAGGTGGAAGGGTTACGTTGTAGATGTATCAGTTGAGGTGGGGATGGGCACCCCATGACCAGTTGTACCCTCCATTTTGACCAGTTGTGGTTTTCTGTACTGGTCTCCATCTGCTGAAAAAAAGCAACTTCTTTGATGAGGAGTAAGAGCTACGCTGATCTGTGGCTGTAAGGATAAGCATTTACAATGCAGTTCAGATTTATGCTCATTTGGGAGAGTGGCAGTAGGTTCTCCTTGAAGATCCATTAGACTTCACTAGCCCTAGAGAATGTGCTATGTTTCCAATACCAGCCATGAGTTCCTTCCTGTTGATCAGGCCTTCAAGTCCAATTAGACAGCTGTTGATTTCCACCTAGACATTAGTGCCACTATGGCACCTTTAAGGCTAGCTTGCCATGCTGGTCATTGTTGTGGCTCCTAGGCATCACAGCTGTGTAATACTATTGATTGTTCTCCTCCCTTGGAAGCTCACATATCTAGCACCTTCTGGCACTATGAAGGCTAGTCCTGAGGAGTAGGGTACTGGGTCAGGTCCAGCTCGAATCCTTGGAGTTCTGTATCCAAAGTGCTTGGTGTGTTCAGCAATAGGGACTCACCTTCAACTTTTGGGAGGCAACCATGGGCAACAGCAATAGTCTATATCATTTTAGGAGAACCTTGGATTCCCCAGCAACTGGTAAGGAGGTTATCATACCCAGTACTGGGGATTTTGTTAGTCCATAAATCTTCTGGGGGTGCATTATCATCATGTATGACATGGCTTCATTTAATACACACACACACACACACACACACACACACACACACACACACACACCACACCTCCTTATGTATTGTATATATTTTTAGGTAAATATGATTCCCTATGTTATTTTAAAACATCTCTAGTATTATTTTTAATACATTAAAAAATTTAAATTTCATATATATGAGTGTTTTGCCTACATGTATGCATATGCACCCTGTGCATGTCTGATGCCTATAAAAGTCAGATGAAGGCATTGGATCGATCTGCTGGAACTGGGGTTGTGAGGCACAATGTGAGTCCTGGCAACTGAACCCAGGTCCTCTGCAAGAACAGTAAGAGTCCCTAACTACCAAGTCTCCAGCTAATATTTTGACTAGTGTTATTGCTAACTGTGATTTGATATTATTTGCAACCTGGATTCTGCAACCTCTCCAGTGTTTCTAATAAGATGGAGGAGGATGGTCTGCAAAGGCAACTTTGGCCCCATCCCCCATACCAGTGAACACTTCAATGGTTCATTAAACCACTAAATTGATTATTTATAGGCTCACTCACAATACCTGAAGATGTAGTGAGATTTTGGCCTCCAGTTTTACAAATAGGACATTACTTAATTACATACATATTAAAATTTCCCCATAACATTAAGTATTAAAAAGTAGCAGTTACCAATCACAGTGTGGAGTTGTTTGGAGCATCGTAACCTCTTTTAAGATGTTGCCAACATAATGGTGCCTCGTGGTTAAGTTGATGACTAGTAAGGTATTTTCCCTTAAAGGGAAGCAGATGGGAGTGGTACCTGACAGCTCAGCCATAGCCCTTTTCAAGGGCTATTGATTTTGGTGGTTCAAAATCATTTTGTTTTGTAGTTGGATGTGGTAGTGTAATCCTAGCAATACTGAGATGGATGCAGAAGGAACATGACCTGGTCAGCCTGGACTACAGGGAGACTTTGCTAAAACAACCAGAAACCCTTCCGAGCAGTTCTAGTTTATGTGGGATTAAATGTTAATGCAGCTTTATTTTCAAGTTTGTTTTTGTTTTGTTGTTGTTGTTGAGGTATGGTCTCACTCCATTGCTAATCTCCTGAACTGATTAATGTATATATAATGTAACTCTAATGTATTTGTGTTAGTAATGTGTACCTAAAACAGAAGCAGAGCAGGTAACCAGTGGCCATCATGGTGCTTCATGGATGTGCAGACACATTTGTTCTTCTAGAGTTGTGTCTACTGTGGGTGGTGGTGCATGCCTGTAAGCCCAGCACTTGGAAGGTGAGGCAGAAGATTGAGGAATGTAATGTCATAATGACATAACAAGTTTGAGGTCAGTCTGGGCTATACAAAACTGTCTCAAAAAACCCTAACTCCAACCAAAACCAAAACACAACATAGTTGTACGTTTTCTGAATTATAGTTTATATTTTTCCAACAATTTATGGCTTTTTCTAATGTCCTGAGCATTGCATTAAACAGGCAAGGAAGAGAGCAGTATTGAAGGTTGAAGGCCAGGGCTCCTGCAGCACTGTGGCATTGTGAAGTCCCTGGCTCCTGTCATTAGCAGATCCTCTGCATGAGTGCTTCTTACCCTAACGCTGCAACCCTTTAATACAGTTACTCATGTTGTGGGGCCCCCAACCATGCAAGTATTTTCGTTGCTACTTCTTTTTTTTTTTTTTTTTGGTTTTTCGAGACAGGGTTTCTCTGCGTAGCTTTGCACCTTTCCTGGAGCTCACTTGGTAGCCCAGGCTGGCCTCGAACTCACAGAGATCCTCCTGGCTCTGCCTCCCGAGTGCTGGGATTAAAGGCGTGCGCCACCACCGCCCGGCTCATTGCTACTTCTAAATGTAATTTTGCTATTGTTAGGAATCATAATGTAAGTATTTTTGGAGATAGAGGGTTGGCAGAGAGGTCACGACCCACAGGTTGAGAACCACCATGCTACAGTCTTTGCTATTTCTTTCCCGGTGCTTCCCCCTCACATTTCTCCTTTCCGGTCTGAGTTGACTGGAGATTCCTTCAGAAGCTCGGTTCATCAGGCTGTACTTTTCTACAGAACTGCAGTATAATTTCCAGCTGAAAAGCATTGTTGGAAATGTTTAGTAAGAAAGTTTCCAATGTTAAATCCAATCACAGGCCAGAAGCCACTGCCAGGCATGTATCTGGGGCGACAGTGTGTCTTGGCACCAGCCAGGCTGGAGCTGCTGCAGCTTTGTGGTACAGGAGTTCACTGTCGAGGGTGACCAAGCCCAGAAGGCCTGAGCAGGGGTGTGTTCATGCTGTGCTGATGCTGTTTTCCTAGGAGTAAATGCAATCAGCTGGAACATTTGGAAATGTGGCAGTGTGGGTGTGAACGAACAGTGCAGAGTGGGTGTGAGAGGCTTAGGAACCAGTGTTTTGGTTGGGTTTTCTGACTGCCTAATACAGGAAGATGCGCATACATATTTATTGTCTGTAAACACTCTCTACTCACCGTTTCCAATGTGATTTTTTCCTTCCAGTATTCTTCAAACATAGCAAAGTTGAAAGAATTCTATAGACCTGACATGCATATTCTCCTGTGATCTTTTTCTTTTATTGTGTTATTTCTTGTATTTAGTTACACAATAGCTCTTAAATTGTAGTCTTTGTCTATCACTCATTAAAACTGCTCTTGATGATACCTGATGGCCGTGGACTCTTGACTGTCCCATTCCAGCCTCCTGAGTAGCTGGGACTAGATGTGTGCACCAGCAAATTCAGCCTCTGTCATTTTTAACGCCCTACTAGGCATAATTTTGGCATAATTTTAGGCCAGGCCCATCACTGTTTTAGTTTGCAATTTTGTTTGCAGCTCTGAGAAGTTCTGACTGCGGTGGCCTCTTCCTTCTCTGTGGTACATTCAGCTTTTCAGCTTTGAATGTCAGACCCTGTATTCTGGATCTCCTCTTCCACTCGAATAATTACAAGTGAGTCTTTTAATGAATTTATTCTGTTCTCAGTCACCAATGGAAGAAAATTGGAATGGTGATTTAGATATTCAATTTTATCCCCCCCGGAGCTGAGGACCGAACCCAGGGCCTTGCGCTCGCTAGGCAAGTGCTCTACCACTGAGCTAAATCCCCAACTCCTTAGATACTTAAATTTAAAAGCAACCCAGAAAGCATGCTTTCATTTCAAATTTAAACTGTCAATGAGGGTTGTGTGTGTTCAGTGTGTATGCAAGTGCATGTGCAAGTGTGCACATGTGCACATGTGGTGTGTGTGTGTGTGTGTGTGTGTGTGTGTGTGTGTGTGTGCATGTGTAGGCCAATTTTCAGATGTCATCTACTTTTTTGTAGGGACAAAGTCTCTCATTGGCTCAGAACTTGCTAAGCAGGTGAGGCTGCTGGCCAGTGAGCCCCAAGGGTTCCACTCATCTCCATCTTCCCAGTGCTAGGATTATAAACAGGCACTGCTTCATCCAGCTTAGTAAGATGTGGGCTCTAGGGATTGAACTCTGCTCCTACTGTATCAACTGAGCTATCTACATAGGCCTGGTGAGATTAATTTTAAGTAAAAGAAGTCCAGTCACCAACTATTAGGTCTCTTAAGGTATTTTTTTTTTTTTAAATGTTCTAGGTAGGCTACAAAAAAAAAAAAAAAAAGAAGCCAGGGGAAAGAGTAAGCTGGGAAGAAAGACCCTCAAGCCTCCCATAGCCAGCATCAATCAGACTATCCATTCCCCTCTTCCTCAGGCTCACATCCAGGTTGCTGTAACCAACACACACTTACAGAGAAGCAAGGCTGAAATAGGTCACCGGAAAGCTCCTGGGTGTTGAACAGGAGGATTGTTTCCAAATAGCACGTCTCCGCTTTTCTTTTCACATTTCTTTAGCAGAAGGTGTTGCTGTGTACTGGACAGCCAACTAAGCATTTGGTGAAAGGCTGCCTGGCATTGTTCTACTCCTCCTGCATCACAATGTGCTGACATAGCTCTGAAGTAAGAAGGGAAGGAGCAGCCGAAAGATGAGGATTGGTGCCGGCATTCCTGAGAAGCCCAGACTAAGTTCTGGGGCTTTTTAGAGGTGAAAAGCCATCTTGATGATGGTGGGGCTGGAAAAGATAATAAAAATCGAAAAGACATCATTTGTCATTCAGTTGATAATGTATCATTCATTTGATAATGTATCATTCAGTTGCCCTGTATTATGGTTTTCAGAAGCCTCAAAGGTATTTGGAGCCTCTGTGAAAAAAAAAAAAAAAAAAAAAAAGCTTCAAGTTTTGCATGGTGGCTCATACCTGTAATTCCAGTACTTATGAGGCAGAGGCAGGAGGATTGTAAGGAGTCTGAAGTAAGCTTAGGCTACACAGTAAGTTTGAAGCCAGCCTGTACTATAGAGTGAGATCCTATCTAAAAAACAAAATAAAACAAAAACAATATAAATCAAACCAAAACCAAACTATTAAACAAACAAACAAAACAAACAACTCCCATCCACACCAAAGCAAACCCAAGAAACAAGAAACTCCAAGCGTCAAACAAAGGTAACATTCCTACAAGACAACAGTGCTGAGGACCAGGTATACAGCCTCACTATATTGCCTTTGCATCTCCATCTGCTGTATTCTGGATACATGCTAAGTGGGCATTTGGTAATTGTTGGGTGAATGGGTAAGTAATATCAATAAACTTCAGTTTTTTCTGAACTGATATCAATAAATATCAGTAAAGTAATATCACACACCATCCCCTTTGTCTTGAGAACATGGCAGAGTTGCTTGTCCTTGCCCTCTGTGTTGGGAGGTCCTCTGCATTCCATCATACTTCAATGTGTCTTGGTACCTTCTTTACTGCTAATGAGGATGATGAAGCACATAGAGGGATGGTAGCTGAGGATAGGCTAAGAGAGGAGCCACACTACCTGGGTGAATTCATTTCACTTGGGTCCCTATGTTCTATGTTCGAGATTCAAGTGCTTGATTTTGTCAGGCTCCAAAAAGTATTTTGGTTTCTCAGAATAAACATGAAGTGTCTGAGTGATGCTATAATGAGAACCATAACAGGCCCCGGAGACCAGGTGTGGATGTGTTGGCATCAGGAAGCCTCTCCAGAAGCAGAGGTGAGGGCCATGCTCAGAATGTGTGAGGGCACAGGCTCTGGGAGCAGGGATTGCATCTGACTAGGAGTTTCCAGAAAAAAGCAGACCCTGTGGAGGCCCCAGCAGGTGACCTGTTATTTTTGCTTTGGATGTTCTGCTGCATTTTCTTTTTTTCTTTTTCTTCTTCTTTTTTTTTTTAATGCTGAGTGCCATTTTCAGATGGATGATTTTTTTCAGTAGGCTCTTGCTGTGGAGTCCAGGTGGGCCTCACCCTTGCAGCAGTATGTTGCCTTGGCCTCCAGCGTGCTAGGATTACATGAATGTGCTACCATGCCTGACTCCGATGGACACATTTCTCCTCCATTCATAACTCTAGTATGCCATCCATCCCTCACATAGCATGTTTATTTCATGATCACCACTTACCAATGATCCTGTTTAGGAAACATTTTGCATATATCTGATTTCTTCATTGTTGATGACATTAATTTTGAAGCATCTGGATGAAATCCTTCGGTATTACTTGAATGATTTTTGAGGTTAAAATATATCAAGAGAAAACTATGGATTAATGGTATGATTTGAATATTTCCCTTTAGATGTGAAAGTTTTAACATGCACAAAGCATATGCACCTGGTCAAAGGAAGGTGCACGACCCGTCAGTTCTCTGCCTTTGCCCTTCATAGAATGGGCCTCTGCAGGGGTCTTCTCAACTGTGTTCTAAGCTTGGAGTAGGGAAATTTCTTCCTATTTCTGATGCTGGCTCCTGGTGAAGCTGTACAATGTTAGTTCTGTTGGTCAGTTTAGTGTTGAGCACCTGCTGCTGAAGGCGCCAACTCACGCTGGGCTACAAGATGAACAGAATCTGCCCTGAAAGAACTTACCATCAAAACTGGCATGTGAGCCTTCAGGTATGGGGAGGGGCTTGGACCTGCCTCTACTGACTGTACCAGGCTCTGCTGACTCCCCACCCTGGGGTGGGGGGAGGCCTTACCTTCTTGTAGGAGGGAATGGAGGGTGGCTGGGTGGGGGAAGGCTGGAGGGGTGGGAGGAGGGAAGAGGGAGTCTGTGATTGGTTTGTAAAATGAATAATAAAATTTCTTAATAAATTAAAAAAAAAGTAGCATGTGAACAGACTGGTTCAATGGTGCCTGAAGGACTCTGGGAACATGGGTGAAGGGCACTTTGTTCAATGTGATGCTTTAGGGATGTTTCCTGGAAGAGGTAATGCCTAAGCTAGAAGCTGGCTTATTTCATTTAGCTTTTCCTGTTTTCTTTTTCTGTGGTGCAAGAGAGTCAACTCAGGGCCTTGTGCATGGTAGACAAGTGCTCTGCCACTGAGCCACACCTCTAATCCCCACGAGAAATATTGAAAGAGTAATCAGTATGAACAAAGAGAGAAGGCATCAGATGACTTGGATTTGAGGGAGCAACTGCTTGCAAAATAGTCTGGTGTGTCAGAGAAAAAAAACTGAAGTTGAGGAAGTGTTGTGGAGAGCTTTGAATGCTCTAACTGGGCCCTGGGACTATCAGCTGTAGAGGTTTTCCTGTAAGGAAGTCTGTATAGGAGAGTCTGGTTTGGTCACTCCAATAGCAATGTAGAAGAAAGATTTGAGGAGAGCTATTCTGCAAGCTGAGAACAAGGTGCTGGTGGAGGTAAAGAAAAGGAGGGGGCTAATTTGGGAACTGTGAGTAGAGTCAGAATTTGGTGACTCACTGAATGTGTGGGGGCTGAGAAAGCAGCAAGATGACTCAAGTTTGGACTCTGGCTTCAAGTCTGCCTTTAACTAGGGAACAGAATACGAGGAGAGGACCAGGTATGGGAGACAGATGCACTGTTTGCAACCACCTTTGTCTAATATGATGCCTTGCATCAGCCGGTGTTTACCTGACAGGCAGTGTCCTCGGGTGCCTCAGTTTTACATGCTGCAGGCAGGAGATGGATTGAGTACTAAGCCCCAAGCTTCCCTCTGTGGTGGCAGGCCGCCTCATGTGTTGCTGGTCTGTATTTCAGAATGCTCCCCCATCCCTCTTGCATTGAGGGCTTCCTTCCTGAAGTTGCATTCCTTTTCTCCTTTCTTGTCTGAAATGCTCCTCCCCCACCTGCTCATGTGAGGCTTATTTTCATGTTTCAGAAATAATAAGCTCAAATGTCACCTGTTTGGAGAATTGTCTGTCACTAGGTGAACAAGGCCCTGCCAGCTCCAAATCTGCTTTGGTTATTGCCCTGTGGTGTGATGGAGCTCTCTCCAGCTGTTTTTGTCACAATAGGTGGCATTAGACAGAAGGAACTTGGGAATCGGGAGGAGGGAGAAGGGACTTGTGTCTGTCTGTGTGTCGCCATGACAACAGCAACAGACTGTACTGTTTGATATTTTATTTTATTCTAACTTTTTGCACTCTCTAAATCTGCAGCTATGAGGGGTTCTCTCCCTGGAGTACCGAGCTCTGTAAAGAGTGTACAGTCTGAGTTTCCAGACCTGATCCCTTAAGCTCTCTAGAAGCTACCCTAGCCCTAGTGTTTGTGGTTGTTGACTCTTGCCATCAGCCCTGATGTCTGCTTCTTGTGTGCCTTCCCAGGTCACCAACATCCAGTGTTTTGCTCTCCTATTGTCTCCCTGTCACCAACTGATCTCTGCCTTTCCTCAAAGGTCTGCATCTTGACTGCACAACAGAACCTGATTTAGGACTACACTCACTCTTTTAACCAACCACTGCCTTATCTAGACTTTTTTTTCTGTCTCAACCTTTGCCTTTGTTACTGGTTATCAGGAAGTTCTCATTAATCCTCAGATCCTTGGTGCCTACCATGGAGCCTAACATCTTGTATGAACTTAGTTGATGTTTCTTAAATGAACTGGATTATTATAAAAGATTACTTACATGAGCCAGGTGTGGTTGGCACACATTTGTAATCCTAGTGCTCAGAGGCAGAAGCAGGAGGATTACAGCAAGCCTGAGGCTAGCCTGGTTTAATACTAAGTTCCCAGCCAGCCAGTGCTACATAGTAAGACTGTGTTTTAAAAACAAATGGACAGAAATGGGTGGTGGTGGCCTTTAATCCCAGCACTCGGGAGACAGGCAGGCGGATCTCAGTGAGTTCGAGGTCAGCCTGGTCTACAGAGTGAGTTTCAGGACAGGCTCCAAAGCTACACAGAAAAACCCTGTCTTGATACAACAACAAAACAAATGGACAAAACAAAAACAAAGAAAAAGGCCAGAATTGAGCAATCCTTTTAATCTTTCAGCTTTAGGCTAATTTACCAGAGGACTCTCTCTGTAGCAATGTGATTCTCTCCAGAGTCAAGTACAGTACTTACTGAATGAAAAAGAGAAGTAAAAAGGTAAGGAAAGGACATGACTGTTCCTAGGTGTGGAGGAGAAAGATAAGAGAGCGTTGGTAGAGGCAGGGACATCTGGGAGAGTCCAGAGTGGACAGGACCAGGCTTAGTTGTGCCATGTGGGGAGAAGGGGAGGGGAAGGGAGACGGGATAGCAGGGGACCAGGTGCTGCAGCCAGGAGGCCCAAAGGTAGAACATGTCTGGATTATATAGGGAAGAGTAGCCTAGTCCCCTAGACTGGAGATTTTAGGGTAGGGGCAGGGTATGCTAGCCAGGAGGACCCTGTAACAGGTAGGGACTGAGGGATAGCCTGAAGAACCTGCTGGCTAGGTCTGCTTTGATATGTTAAATGGGCACCTCAGTCATTTGTGCCAGGTTTGAAACCTAACACTTACTTCTAAGCGTATTAGAATACAGTTATTTTGTTTAGTTTTGGAATGGCCATCAGTAGACTAACAGGGCAGTCTGCTTTGATTCTGTGTGGACA